GGAAAGCGGGCCTGGGCGGCAACGCGGGTGTGTTAACAGTCAAAAGCGCAGCACTGTGGTGAATTGCTTCAGCTGTGCCCTTCCTACTTGGCGGCCGTTGTGGTACTTTTGGAGGACTCGACATTCCGAACAATTCGTTGCGTTAATTGTCGCCTATTTGGGTCTGACTTCTGTCCTTTGAGGCTTCTTTACCTCTAAAAACTCAAGTAAAAGATAGTCCTATGTTCCCGCCGTTCGACGGCAGTGTATGTATTATGAAAATCCACGCATGGCCATTAAAATACATCGACGACTGATGCACGAAACGTTCTACATGTATTTACGTATGCACGCTGAAGCCTGAAGGTCAACGGCAAGAAGCATACGTATGTATTTACTTCATCAATACACTACTCTTCTATGCCCAAGAGACCTGAAGACATCTGTGCCTCTCAATCAAATCATATTCAATTCCGTTTTGGAAATATTTTTTATAAAATTATAAAAGTAAGTTAATAAAACAATTAACTTTTGCTCAGTTGGATCGGCATACGTGATTCGGCAGGTTTTCCTCACGGTCACTCATCAGTCACTGACTAACAGTCTGACAGACTGACAGTCCGACACCCATGACCCAGCCGGCATTTTATACACACGGACAGCACTGCATACATTAGTGTACATCTTAATTTTCTCTACTACATACCACTAGAGAGATATATATATAGCCTTCACAATTATACAGCTATGATATATTAAATTTTAAATATATAAATATATCATAAATACATAGCACGTTTATTATCCACCGACTTCACTTTTATCGGGGTGAATAGAATATATACATATACACACTACATATCATGCCGCAACACTGGTCGGAGGATGTGATTCCGGGGTTCGATGTGTGGGCCATGTACTTCGGTGCCGGCATGCTGGCTTTCAACTTCGTATTGATTGTAAGTACAACGTTATACACCTGTTATAAATACTACTAAGTTCATACGATTTGACGTCCTCTATACATATACTCTACAGCTTTACTTATCTGCTTTGTGCTGAAAATACTCGTCATTATGTATGTATTAAGCTGGATGTGGCTCTGGTGACATACTAGCACACAGCTTAATGAGGTAAAAACATACGTGCACAATTCATTTAAAGAGGTATAAATATACATGTACATATTGTGTATGACTGTGAAAGGCCGCAGGCTGTCCACTTCTAACACATAGTATGTCTTTGATGCCACTGATAGAGGAATGTAGTCTGTATGTTTTGATCGAGCGATTGTACACCATATATGTTCAGTTCTTAATGCTATTGATAGTATTGCGTGCCGTGCGGTGTCCATAGTGAAGCCTTTATCCCTATAGCTCTCAGCGCTTGTTTTGGTTTCGAACACTTCTGGGTTGCACTCAGATACGTATGTCTACTTCGAATTCTTGCACACAAGGTTTGGTATTAAACCAATGAGTATACGCGACCATGCTTTTAAAGGGCATTCAGATGTCTGCCCCTTTAGTACGGACTCTGCAAATAAGAATCTCACCCGGAAAATTTTTACACATTACCTACTCAACTGTCATCAGCGAATATGTCTAAACGCCAATGATATACGGGACACATAAAAACACGTAGACATGCTGGTTGATAGAAGCCGGACACTAGCACAGCTGTGAAGTAGACACCACTACATTACGACTGATGAGAATAGTGTTCTACATGCGTTTGAGTGAGTGAACTATTGCTGTTTTAAAGCGTCAAGTGTGTTAAACAATCGATGTTTTAACAACTTGCAGCCCTATCCAACAAATCTTCTCATTTAATTCTTTTGTATTTACGTAAATCTCGATACAGTCACAACTGCCGGAAAAAGCTATTCATTTATTTTTCTTCAGTTTCGTTAATTGCTTGTGTATCTCATCCCATATGCTCAATATATGTGGTAACGTACTCATCGACGCACGCTTCCTATCCTTCAACACATGTATCTATCCATTTATAGCTTGAAGATCGGTAGCATTGTACGGACTAAAGTGTTCGTACTTTTGCTATGAAATTAAGACCCCATTGAGATTCAACAACGGATGATTGTAACCATCAACATATGACTATGCGCGCTTTCACATCACACGAATTTATTTATTTTTAGGACTGAGTTATAGCTGTATTCGCATCATCACTTTCAATACCATGAAATCATCAGTGGCAATACATTAGTTGCACCTCTGTCAGTACAATAATGTCGTCACTGCCATCGCATCGTTATGAACACTTTTATACGATAACCATCGAACATAGTTCATCAATGCCAGGAAGATAGTTATATTAACTATGCCTGTGAGACATCACGCAAGTGATTACATCCCTGCGATCAATCAGGATCGGTCGAAAATACATACTTCTGGCTTTATACTACACAAAAAAACTAAAAAGGCAAACTTGGACCTGGTATGAGATTGCACCGATAACTATGTATCAGTTCCTTATTCGTATTTAGGTATTGTATAGTTCGAAGTCTAAAATTTAGGTCGTGATATATACGCTTTGCGAATATAGTGCTACCCCACCACCAATAACCCAACTCGACCAAAGCGCACTTGGCCCAAATATCTCAGACGTTGAATATGCAACTACTTGTATGTGCGTACCATGCACAGATGGCTGTGCTATATTCCACTTCGGGCGATAGCAGTGAACCCGCCGTGATTATGATTCCCACGCCAAACAAGGAGCCGCTGGGTGAAGATGAATCGAAGATTAGGTCACATACGTATCAGAATGTGACGCAAAGGCTGGGGAAAGGCTCGGAACAGGAGAAACAGGCACAAACAAAGGAGCAATAGCGCCGTTTCGACATGTACTCGTCCTTGTAAGGTACGAATTTGAACTGATGCTGTATTCACAAACAAAGGTACTATAACGATATAACAATAAAACGGGGAGTATACATCAACTGACATCTCAAAATTATGGTTTTAGTATGAGGTCAATTCAAACAACACTCATAACGCGTTACGCAGGCGGCTATTATAGTATGATTAATTCACAATTGCGGTTTTCGCCTCTGTGAGCGGTAGCTTGTACTCTTTAAAGTGAAAGTACTTTTGTACGCAGCTTTGCTGTGGCCTGTAGAAAATTACACTTACCTTTAGTGTATTACAGTGGATTCAGTAAGCACATGCTCCACACAGTCGCACATACACACACATATAAGTATGTATACGTATGTATATATATATATATGTATATATATATACATATATACATATATATATATATTTATAATGTATGTATATATCTATCTATATATATATATATGTGTGTGTGTGTGTGTGTGTGTGTATTTATATATCTATATATCTATTTGTATGTATATATATGTGTGTGTGTGTGTGTAACAGGTAGTAGAATAGTAGGAGACTTCGTCATCAGTGATAGGGCAGGAAGATTGATTGCAGGTAGACTAGGTAGTTGCTGTAGTGTTGGATAGTTTAAATTAAACCCTTGGTCTAGCAATAAAAGGAATCTACATTGATATTGCATAAAAGTATATTCTATTCTATTTCGACCCCAGGCCATAATTTTGATTTCGGAACGAGGTCCATCGCACGCGCGTGAATGAAAACGTACAAAACTATTAAGAAAAATTGCCTATGGAAACTACGGTTGAATTTCTCTACAAATACAATTCAACCCCTAAAACAAATACAATTCAAACCCAAGTAGAAAAAATGTTGACCCGAACATGACAGCTTCTACGAGGTCCGAATACTACTCACAACCCGCCACCCACCCTTTAAGAAACCGTGTTTGCGCGTGTAAAATCAAAATCGACATCCGTTCCGACGGGAATGAGCTTTCTCATGCTTGAGGTATCGCGGGTTGGTATAAATAGCTGGACCGAATCAATCTCCAGGTCAACCACGCTATTCAATTGACTATGCTTTTACTGATAACTGCTGCGTGTAGGATACCGGTCAAATCAGTCGTACAAAGCTTCTCTGTACACGGAGCACCTTTTTCTGGCGGACAAAACGACCGAAGGAAAGGAACCCATGTGATAATTGAGGGATCGAGTCTAACGGCTACGACCATAGAAAACAATAGACCTCTTCTCAAGTAGGGGCCAGAAACATTTGGGTTCTAGTATCGGCTTGTTAATGATTGGTTTCTCTAGTGCCCAAGCTACAAACACACTCTAGTATTACCTTATGGCGATGTTCTACCTCGTGGTTCTCCAAGAAAAAGCTTAGGCTTTCTTCAGTGTGGATCCCGCACCACTCTCTCTAAACTCTAAAGACTGTCTTATTTTCGTTAAGGTTCTGGTTGTACACAGTTCAGCGCAGCGATACTTTATTAACTCCAATAAGTTAATCCCCGCCACTGGTTTTAGGATCAGTTCCCCTTGTTCAAGCCTTAGTTTTTCTAACCTCCACGTCGGCGTGGTAGCTCTAGTGTAGTCCATCACAGATGGATTGGCAAATATGTTTGTCACCAGGGAAAGCACGTGTGCAGCTGTGATCTTGTGAGTGTAAGTATAGAATCAAGATGGGTCCTACTAAATTAGGGAGAAGACCTTTGCAGTGTATGGTGTCTGGTGTCTCGGCCAGAATTCTAGAGGCTATCGCGTCCAGTAGGGGATGAGCGGTAGCGATTATAGGGACATCCCCGGGGTACGTCATAGTCACATGTTTAGGAGGATCCACGCCTTTAATCACTACGGTCACTGTCGCGGCCTCCGTCGCAGCGGTAGTCTGCATCACTGTTTCTTCCTACAGATATTTCGCGGCTGAAATTATTCACGTGATGTTATCAAGCAAGAGCATGGGCCCGTTCGTGTCGAATGCTTGAAGTATCCTTCCCTTTAGCTCACTCACGTACGCTGCTGTGATGAAGCCTATAGTCGCAGTACGCAGTTCTTTAAGGGACGAGTATAGTTCAGGAAGGTCCTTTTGCCACACCTGTACTAGGACCTCACTGGCGCCGACAGGGGTAGAGGTGAGTCGTACGAGCGCTTGGTTGTGGATCGTGTCTTGCTTGTCTGCATCCTTCTGGATAACCCGACCAATGCCTTCCCACGAGGGCATTGTTTCTGTGGGCTGTCCCCGTTTTCTGGTTTGCAGCGCCCCGTGGCCCATGCGGTTTAGTCGCACATACATGCCCAAAGGACAGCGTTGGCCGACCATTCGCTGACATCATGCGCGAGTGTGGGAACCCAAAATTGCGTTGGTGGAGGTAGATGTATTTATGTAGTGCGTCTTACTTCGGGCACCACCAGCGTTGCCAAGACAGAAAACATGACATCGGTCAGGCTGCACTACGTCACGTGATGTGTACAAAATTGCCCACCAACTGGTACAGCGAATGTAAACGGCCAGCTTCCCAAAGGTAGTCGTTGTGGCCTGCCCTTCCATTTGCGTATCCATATCCATATGGACAGGTCTGGGTCGGCGCCTTCATTCAGGGTTGGGTTTCTTGGATTGTGTTCTGTTCTGCAGCCAACATCATACTCATGCCAGAGCGATTTAACACGATGAGCGACTACACGGGTACGCGCGTGTTTCAGCGTTGTCGATTCGAAGGTTGGTGTTGAGAGGTGTTCGAGTTCGAGCTTACGTGCTTCTTCCTGAGCACGCTCACGCTCACGCTCGCGACCATCCCAACGTTCTTGTTCCTCGAGATGGCGGCGATTGCTGTGTTCGCGTACTCAGCGTTCCTTTTCGCGTAGCTCTATCCGTCTTTTTCTGGGCATTCCGTGTACGTTGGCGTGCAACCTTATCACAGCGCCTATTGTTCTCGAACATGTCTGCAAGGCGTTGGAGTGCGTCTCCCTCCCTTTCTGGCTCTGGTGGTGTCTGCTCAACAATATGGATTTTAGGGGGTTTTTTTACCCTAAAACAATATGGGAAGCGTCCTGGGGTTATGGTGCCGTTGGAACTGGTTGACCCTTTTCCTCCGACACTGATGAGGAATTCGCTGCACCAGTGTCAGCCGAGTGAGGCTTGGCACGTCCTGTGCCTTCCGATTGCACCTCGTTTGTAAGCTGTTAATCTGTTAATGAGAGAGCATTTGAGTGCGGTTCCGTAGCCACATTGGCGTTGAAGGTGCTGACTAAAAACGCTAAACAAAACCCCTAAAACCCAAAATCGGCAGACCACGAGAAGGTCTGAAATGCGAACAACGCGACCGGTGTGGTGGGTAGCGTTGACAAGGTCGGCTGCGGTAGTCGGAGGTATCAGAGCGCTCACGAACAGATGCCGAACGGGGGGCGGTAGAGACGGTGTTGGTCACCAGACGAGCCGTCACAGTTATTGCTTGGCGACGGACGCCCTTGAGTTCTATCGCCCCTGTGAATACCACTTGATCCAATGAAGTGGCCGAGGTCAGCATCAGGAGCTAACCGGGAGCGACTATTGATCGGTAGTTTGTTCGCTGGTGTGTACGGTTCCTACTATCCAATGCCGGACTCTGCAGCATCAAGCACTGCAATACAGGTGTCGGGCATAACATAGTAATCTCAGCAGGGGCAAAGGGGTTGGATTTTCGCCCAGCGGATATACGATCGACTTAGTCCGGTCGTTACTGCTGTGAGTAGTGTTCAGGCGTTAAGCCCGCTCGAGCAGTTCCAAATTGTTCTCAGGACGGCAAGGTGTACCGAAATTCCACAGTGTGCAACCAGGTAGCGCTCGCAAACCACCTCTACTTCGGCGGCACCAGTTGGGTATTGATACTCCTGTGGCTTCGTATCAAAATCGACACAGGTCATCGACGTAGGAGCCGTTTTACTGCTCTTTCTCGGTCATCTTATTGAATTCTGTGATTGAGATAGGTGGGGTGAAATCGATAGACGTCAATAAACAGGGATGAACTTGGCAAAACTAATTGAGCTGTAGAGACATCTCAGTATCCATGTTGATTTGAAGCAAGTAGATGACTTGTCATGTATTGTCGTTGACAGTGTTATCACAGAGTGTTATAAACCTATAGCACGCTTCTTGAGGGCCAATAGGCCCAATGAACTCCAGTGTAATTTGCTGTGAGACGCTTTCAGTGGATGCGATCTTAGGTATGTAGGTATGTCGATATTGTGTGGAGAAGTAGACAAATACACTTCGCCAGCCGAAGTAGACCTTAGTGCAGTGAGAGACAGGTTGCCGTTAAATTGTACCAATACATACACCGCGTGTGTACCTGGCTAGGGCTGGCCATCTCCTATATAAAACGATTACCATCTACACCTTGGTACATTCTATGTGGTCAAACACACCCATACTACACATGTCTATAGATCTCGCAGCCATATGCGCAATTGTCTATCCGTACTCAGTACCTGCGTATAAACACCTCTACACATCCATAAACAGTACAGCTCCTCACCATCGTTTAGGTATTGTACGTTCGCTCGAAGCGTGCGCGACAGGTGTTCTGGCATGTTGTCGTAGTCACTCCTGGAGGTCGGCGCACTTGTGCTAAAGCCGCTGCTGAATATATCGCTTCCGCCAGGCGAATCCGCGAGCATCCGTGTACCACGTGTTCTAGTAGGAGTGTGTCGATCATTACTTGGTCTAGTAATAGTAGATCTGGCACCCTCAAGGTCCTGTCCCGCATCCAACACATTCGTAGCCTGCTGACGACCATCGGCGTAGCCGAGGTCGTTCCGATTAAGGCCGTCCCGATTTCTGATATTTCGGTCCCTGTTTTCCCGGTCGACCAGTCTCACTCTCTCGACAGGACTGGGCAATTCTATCGACGATAGGGACAGTGGACTGGAGTGTCCCTCCTCACTAGCGCTATGGTAGCGCTCAGTCTGTCCAGTATCTGCATGCGCATGTCTGGTCGCCGTAGGGTTGTATAGGGTTGCAATGTACAGGTTGTCTCCGCGCACATCGGCTCTTGTCGGTACATTCAAATTCGCATGTGTGAAAGTGTTTGGACGTGCATCCTCCTGTGTGCGTGTGTGTGGGGGGTCACTTCTTAACTCAGCCACAGCTTGTACGCCTCTGCCACCATACCCCTTTTGTCCATTTTCTAACCCATCCGAGCCCCCTGGCCCCTCACGCAACTGTTTGTGCGTGTCTGTGTCGGTGCGCTGTTTGCTGTGTGTGCTTCTGCCCGTCCGCCTCCTCGCCTTGCGTTCGCTCCGATGCCTTCGACTGTATGCGTGAGTATCCGTGTGTGTGTGTGCCTGGGCACCTGTGTGTGCGATTTCATGAGGCTGTGTGTGCGTGTAAGTCTGTAACTCTGCACTTCCCCGTACAACGGGTTGTGTGTTTGGTGGTTGCGTTGGCTCTGGAGCATCCGGTGACTCCGGTTGTGCTGTCTGTGCACGAGTGTCATTCTGTGCAAAGTCTGTATATCTATCATGAGTGCCATTTGTGTTGTCTGTATACCTGAGTGTCCCGATTGTATTGTCCGCTACCCCCGAGGCCTCAGCTTTACCGGTATTATTAGTTACATTATTAGTATAATGATTATCATTATTCGTGTCGGTGGTGGATCCCGAATCCGTACCCGCACCGGACCTGGACTCCGGATGCAATGTGTTACCTGTGTCATTTGTTGGTAGAGCGTCGTTTGTTAGTGGAGTGCTCATCGACACAGACAATGATTGCAGATGAATAGTTCGGAATTGAAGATATGGTCCCCAGAGTTTCAGTAAGATACTAACAAGGGTCGGAACTTTTAGAGGCAATATTGCTTCCCTACGTATGCCAGTGATCATTCTGCACACAGGAAAGCTAGCGCCGAATAGACATATCCCCGTGATTGTTTGTCCACTTAGTATGAATTTCCAGTAGGGTACTTCATATTCACCAGTAAAGTACTATACACCAACTATAGGCTCAAAAACATTGTATATCGGTGATGTTCGGAACGTTCAGCCTAGGTTCCCACTAAATAATCACTATGGCACAGGCTTTCCCTTGTATGAGCAAGGTCAACTTAGCGTGAGCACTATGTGGTGTACCTAAGCAACCCAACGCGCAGTTCCAAGCAATTTCAAATGTTCTCTCGGAATACAAAAATCAAATGGACCGAAGAGTATAACTGAACCAGCGTCATAATAAAAGTGCACACAGCCAGATGAATCAATATATGGTAAGAATTCGATGGATAAATACTCATAGCGCTGAGAAAAATAGCCAGCATCATATTATAGGTACACGCAGCCAGAAAGAAACAGTCTATGGTGAGAAATCAATCAATGAATACTCAGAGCACTGAGCATAATATAGCTGGACCAGCATAATGTAAGTGCACACAGCCAGCATGAAGAAATCTATGGTAATAATCCAATGGATAAATACTCATAGTACTTAGAATAGTGTCCTGAACCTGTACCTCGTACTGAATACACGCATTAAAAAGGTACTACAATTTTCTACATTAACTACATACACTCTCCCATACACACACACGCATCATAACGCATACGTTGGCCTAAGTAAAGGTCTCGGAGAGGTGGCATCAGCTCTTGATTTGCCACACCCCGGCCATCATCCTCATGTTTCCATTTATCTATATTTTCTCTCTTTTGCGTCGACGTCGCCACAGTTGCTGCGGCCTTCTGTGCCTATGAACGTGGCCCGAATAAATCAATGAAACGATCAACGTACCTGGACAAGACGCATATAGAAACGGATTATATGCTAATGTACATATACATACATATACATATACATATACATATGCATATGCATATTTATATATCACATATACATTTGTTTATACATATTTAACATACCGACACACATATATACATTGTATATATATATATATATATATACATGTGTGTGTGTGTGTGTGTATGTGATACATATACATACATATAC